GAGTCTACAGTTCAACAAGATCCTCAGGTGAATCGGATGGTTACTGAAGTTTGAGAATCCTCAACTTGGGTTGCTATTAGCAGAAGTAACTGAAAATCCAATTCGAACTGGCTTACATAGTAAAGGAAATTTGTTGGCTTATGTAACTGAAAAGTGTGGGTGATGGAATGAGATTCAAGTGGGATCAGATCCAGAAGTTCTTAAGTTTTATTAGGGTTCTGGAACTCTTTTTGCTTATCTGGGCTTTTTTTCCCTCCAAGCCTATCCCTGAAACATTATTTCATTTTATATTAATGAGAACAAAACAAAAATATGGAACAATGTATAAATAAATAAATAAATAAATAAATAAATAAATAAATAAATAAAATAGCACTCTTTAGGGGAGGCTACCAAAATTTTAACACAATGGTCCTTTAAAATCGAGACCCTTGGCTGCAAGTAAAATAAAAGGCTCACTCAATCTTGTAGACAATAGGAAGTTTGTGATCTTTCATATCAAAAAGGCCAAAGGTAGGTCTGGTGCCAAGACTGACGTGCCAGGGCTCCCTTTCTGTGCAATTCTCTGGCCTCTGCCCAAGCCCATCTGTGGACTCCCATCTTCAGACTGGAACAAAACTGGTGAAGTTCCAGGAATCATATCCAGGCCTTCAAATATATAAAGGCCGAAAAAGGACCTCCTTTTCTCATGTCTCATCTTTAAGAATAGATAAATCTTTCCCAGAAATAACACAGCAGAGGCTTCCTGACCGCCCATTGTCCAGGATTAGGTTTCAGGCCCATGACAGAGACCTCTAGTTACTTCTGAATATCCATTCTCTGTTTTCTTTAGCAATATTGTTCTGATTTTATCTGGACATATGGCTAGCCAGCTAAAAGACTATTTCCCTGCTTCCCTTGCATCTATATTTGGCCATATGACTAAGTTCTAGTCAACTAAATGTAAGTAAAAATGTTAGGTAGAACTTCTGCGAAGTATCCTTTTTGAAAGGGAGGCAGCATCTTCTCTTACTGCTCTTCCGTTCTGATTTCTGGAAAGCAAGCAAAATGGTTGAAGCTTTCATGGTCATCTTAGATCATGAGGATATGGATATACTCAAAGAGCTGGTGAAATAAAAATCTCAAAGAAGCCCGGGTCCTTGATGACTTTGGGACTTCCCATTACAAGTAATGGATGGCCCACCAGTAGTTATGCAAGAAGAGAAAAGCTTATGTGTTTAATTCACTTTTTAATTTGGGTTTTCATTAATCTTTGGTGAACCTAATTGTGACCAATGCACATGCCCATTCCTAAATCAATCACTGGCCAGAGGAAATGTTACCACTTGACTGAGGGCAAATGGATTTTAGGGAGGCAAATGATTACCACTTTAAATATTTATTTACTTATATATTAAATATTTCTATTAAAAATAAATTACTATGGGGGACCTAAGTGGCTCAGCTGATTAATCATCCAACTCTTGGTTTTGGGGTCATGGGATGGAGCCCCACATTGGGCTCTGCATTCAGCGCAGAGTCTGCTTCAGATTCTCTCTCCCATTCACACTTTCTCTCAAATAAAAAATAAAATCTTAAAAAAATAAAAATAAAAATTACTATGGGGAGGCAGCCTTCTCAATATCTACATATGAAGCTGCCTTGTTGTAACTAAGTGCTGTAGCATCTTAGTTACAAAACTTAGATGATTATTTCCTGTGAAGTGCAGAGTAATTATTACCATTTAGATTCTAATGGGTATTTTGGTGACTTCTATTAATTTTCATGAAAAAATTCTCATAAATCAAAGGGTTACTCTCCAAAATGCAAGGTTTGGTTTTTTAATTGACGAACTTTTACTTAATTTCAACACATATGACTTTATTAATGCCAACATTCTTTTAGCACATTTACTGCTCCACTGAAGGTGAGTCTCAAACCTGGTCTCTTTAATCCTTTCCTTAGATATCTTGCAGTTTTATACTTTGGGATGTGATTTTTTAAATAGACCATTTTCTAATTCCTTCAAAATCAAATTGTAGAGCAAGCTCTGTCTCAGTTGGGAGAGTGGAGTAGAACTTTTCCTTATAACATCTCTGTTCAAGAAACTATTCTCATTTACAAGGGATTCACAACTCATATTTCCAATTCCTTTAGTTTCCTTCAACTCTAAAACTCCAGATGAAATTACAAAGAGCCGAAGCTATCGTGAAAAGGCATATGATCCAAGCTCTGTAATACCTCACTGTGGTCTCAGCAATCCACTCCAATCAGGGTGTGGGGTTTGGGGTAACTAGAGAAATGCACAGGCTGTAAGTTAAGAGTACTCTAATTCCATTCATTGGACATAATTAATGCAAACACCAGTAGCAGAGGACTTGTTCAGAGCCCAACTTTGTACTTAACTAGCTTTGCTGCTTTAGACCAGACATTCATTTCACCTTTTCAACCATCAAATTTCCTCATCTATAAAATAAAGGCCCTGATTGTTACAAGATCTTTAAGTCTCCAATTGTTTTTTTAAATTTTATTTGAGAGTGTTAAGAGAGGGAGCAGGAGCAGGGAGAGGGGTAGAGGGAGAAGCAGACTCCTCACTGAACAGGGAGCCCAAGGCAGGGCTAGATCTGTGACTGGGATCATGACCTGAGCCAAAGGCAGATGCTTAACCAGTTGAGCCACCCACGCACCCCTAAGTCTCCAGTTCTGTGCTGTGCTTCAATTTTAAGGAAGACAATGGTTTATTTCTAAAATCCCCAAGAAGCAGAAATATTTCTTCTTTACCCCAAAACCAATTCCATGGCTTAATAATTCTGTGAGGCAGCTTTCTTGTTTCCAGCTTTATTAAGGTATAAATGACAAATGAAAATGATATATATTTCAAGTGTACAACCTGATTTCATTTACATTTTGAAATGATTACCACAATCAAGTTAACACTTCCATCAGTGAAGCAGCCTTTTAAATAAAGAAGATATGACTGTCACCTGTCTTCTCTGGAGTTTAAGGATAATCCACCAGGGACTCCTGGGTGGCTCAGCGGTTGAGCACCTGCCTTCAGCCCGGGGAGAGATCCTGGAGACCCGGGATTGAGTTCTGCATCGGGCTCTCTGCGTGGAGCATGCTTCTCCCTCTGCCTGTGTCTCTTTAAATAAATAAATAAAATAAATAAATAAATAAATAACTTTTTTCTTTTAAAAGGATAATCCACCAGCACTCTTCTTCTATTAACCCTTCACAAATTTTAAGCCAGTAAGTCACCATTCACCAGTCTTCTCCTTAGTGAGTGATCTTGAAAGTTCAGCCATTCATGTACTACCTTCATGCTATGGGCATCATCTTTCTGGTTCTCTGCCTTGGTTATCATGTTCTCTATGTTCCTTCTTACTTAATTTTGGAGAGAATTTTTGTTTAATCACAGCTTGATGAGGACTATGAGGACTCTATCAGTCTTGCTTGGCAAAAACAGAGGTTAACTATGAAAAAAAAAAAAAAAAACCAACAACAACCCAGAAACCTACTAATTTTTAAAATAGGCCAGTAAAGACTTCATGACAAAGGCAACAAGCCTCACTTGGTATGAAACACTGAAACATTTGTTGTAGTAGCTGGCCATGACTTCCTCCCTTCCGTGCATGAGCAATGTTAGTAGCCTCATGAAACATTTCTGCTGAATCTTTATGCAATTTACAGGTAGGAGAATTTTCCTAGGTTTAGGGCAGTGAGTAATGGAGGTCAACCTGGAATCTCCCACGACCTCAACTGGAGAAACATGTCTCTAGGGCAAAATCAATGGTTTCTTTTACCTTTATTTAGAATAGTTTTCAAACCCTAGCAAGCCTAAGAATCACCCGAGGCTCTGGCTAAAAAAAAAGCTCATTTCTGGGCCTTGCCCAGGTCAAGACTAGAGCCTAGGAGTCCGCATCATCAAACAACTTCCCAGACGATTGCCGTGCAGGCAGTTTTCAGACCCTCACTTTGAGAAACACGTGCTAAGGCTTTCCTTGGTCTATTACTGTGTTAGCTCACTCTTCAATAACGTGAGTGCTTTTCCCGGCCTCTGGTAGGTGCCCCTGTAGCGGGATGTGCCAAGACTTAAGATTCAATATTCATGGCTCCAGGCAGTCTAGGACCGGCAGATGAAGCAGACTGGCAGCCTCGCTCTAGGAGCTCAGGGCTGGGAAGGCTTTGTGGATCCAGATCGGAAAGATCTGATGATTGATTGATCGATACTTTTTGAAAGGCGGGTGGAATCGGAGGGATTCTGCAAGTCAGGCCTGCGTGGAGCTGAAGCTGTAGGCGCAGAGGCTGGAAAGGTCAGTCAAGTCGCAGGCACTTTCTCCTCGGGCGGTCAGCTGTGACTCGAGGTCTTCATCGCGGCGACGTGGGGACAGTCTTGTTTTAGGGAGAGTAGTGAGGCGGTGTGGATGCTCCAGGTGGACGGGCTGTGGCGGGGCCAGAGGCGCGACCACCCTCACACCCTGAGCGCGGGGTGGGAGGCAGCTGGGCGGCCCGACTGGCCCCGGGTTAGGCCCCGGGTTCTCCGTGGGGCGGACGAGCGGCTGCCCGGAGGCCGCGGGGGAGTCCTGGACGACTCCGCGTCGTGAGAGCCCCTGGGAAGGGCTCGCCCATTGCCTGGGGCAGGAGGGGGCCCGCTGGGTCCCCCGAGGAGAGGAGCCGTCCTCGCGGGCTCCCCTTCCCCCCGCCGCGGGCCCCGGAGCACCGGCCTCGCCCAGGGCTCTCCTGCCGGGGCGCACCGACCGAGAGACCGAGCGTTAAAAGAAACAAGCCCCGCGGCCCCACGTACGCAGCGCGGCCCCGCGCCCGGCGGGTTGGCGGCCTCGGCGCGAGCGGCCCGGGCCCCGCGGGAAGGCGCTCGGCTCCCCGGGAGGAGGGCGGGGAGGGGCGGGGCGGGGCGGGGGGAGGCGCGGGCGCCGGGCCGCCGGGGTGGGGGGGGCGGGGGAGGAGCGGGCGCCGGGCCGCCGGGGTGGGGGGGCGGGGGGCCGGGCGCGCGGAGGGCCGGGCATGCCGGCGTTGCGGGCTGCGCCTCGGCGGGCCGCGTCGGGCGATGGCGCTGCGCCTGGTCTGCGACTTCGACCTCCGGAAGGACGTGCTCCCGGGGCTGCGGGCGCGGCGGGCGGCGTCGTTGGCCTCGGGGGCCCGAGGCGGCGGCCCAGGTGCGGGGGCGCGGGGGCGCGCGGGGGCGCGGGCGCGGCGGGGGCGGGGGCGGGCCGAGGTCGGAGGGCGCCCGGCCGGGGCGCGCGGCTGCTGGTAGCGAGGCCGCCAGCCCGGGGCCCGCGTCGCCGCTCGGGGTCACCACCAGGGCGAGGGGGGGTGCGGGGGCTGCGACGGGGCCCCCGCCGGCGACGGCTCCTCACCTGGGGGCTCGGCCCCCGCGGGGCTCCCGCAGCGTGGCTCGGGGCCAGCCGGCACCCCCCCAAGATGCCCAGCAGCTGCGCCGTTTGTCCTGCGGGTTGTGAGGCGTGTCCGAGGGAACAGCGTCGGTGACTTGGGGGACACGCCCCTGCAGCAGATGCGAGGCGCGAGGGGCAGGGGGGCTGCTCCCGGGCTGTGAGCCGCCTAGGGCCTGCCGCTCCGCAGAGGCGTCGAGGCCGCCCCCACCCCGGCACGCCCCTCCAGCGGGACGCACCCCCGGGACGCCCCCACCCCGGGAGGCCCCCACTCCGGGACATCCCCACCCCGGGACGCCCGCACCCCAGGACACCCCTCCAGCAGGACACCCTCACCCCAGGACGCCCCCACCCGGGACACCGTTACCCCAGGACGCCCCCCACACCGGGACATCCCCACCCCGGGACGCCCCCACTCGGGACGCCCCCACCCCGGGACGCCCCCACCCGGGACATCCCCACCCCGGGACACCCCTCACCCGGGACACCCCTCACCCGGGACGCCCCCACCCCGGGACGCCCCTCCAGCGGGACAGGCGTGAGGCCTCCCCCCATCCCACCCCCGCCTCCAGCCTCCTCGGGTCACTGGGGCACCTTCTTCACACTGGGGGCGCTGGGTCTAATCTGTCACAAAGTTACTTCTTTTTGGCTTCGATGAGGGAGCGAACAGTGACATTTGAACTTTTCCAGCATTAATCGAAATTTGAAGTCGGGGAACGCTGTGATAGCGCACATCTTTTGTTTTCCTTTTAGAGAAGTTTGCTGTAAATAATGATGCTTCTCAAGGCTTAAACTGGGCCCCGGAGCTTCCCCCACCCCAGCCGCCACGCACGTGGGAGCCTTCACCTCCACGTGTGCGCGCCCCCTGCCTCACCCCTGCGCTTTTCCTTAAGCTCCGCAGCGCCCCCCCCCCCCCCAAGGCTGTGTTTTGGAAGGGTTTACCCTCCGAGCTACAAGTTCTCGCCCTTGAACTCTGCTGGAAGTTTCCGCTGCCTGCCTTCTACCTTCACACCGTCCTATGGCTTTAGCAGAACTCTTCGTAGGGTTGCGTGTCTTGGTATGTTGGTTATTGGTTCCAAATAAGGAGTCCTGGTAGCTCAAGGCTTGGGTTTGCTGTAGTGTCCTAATTAGTAAAGTTTTGCTTTAATTTAAGTCTCCTAAAGAGGTTTTTTGGTTTTGAGATTTTCCTTATGTATTCAAGAGACACAGGCAGAGGGAGAAGCAGGCTCCATGCAGGGGGCCCGACGCGGGACTCGACCCCAGGGTCACGCCCTGAGCTGAAGGCAGACGCCCAGCTGCTGAGCCACCCAGGCGTCCCTACTAAAGAGTTTTTGAAGGTTTAAGCTTTTTAAAATACACTGGCCTGCTTTCCACCACAAAATAGTCCTTTGGCCAAGTCTTCAGGTCATAGAGCTAAATGGCAGGTGTCTGCAAATGAAAAATTAGGTGAAGTGTGAAATGCCACAGTTGTACATTTCAATAATAAGTGTTGTGATTGAAAAGTTCTACGTGAAAAAAAAAAAGAAAAAGAAAAGTTCTACGTGAACCAGTTAGGCTTTAGCTTCCTGGGCCTTTCACTCATCTGTGAAGAAGCATAAGCTTGTGTGTTGACATTCCGCTAAACAGCAGATGAACTTAGGTCCTCAGCAGATAAACCTGCTAGAAATACCAGCTTTTTTCTAATTTCGGTAGTATTTCGCTCTTTGCAGAGCACCTTGGCAAGATGATTAGCCCTGTCAGGCTAAGAGAATTGTTCCTCCTGATGATCACCAGTGGGTGGTAGCTCAAAAGAACACGGTTAATTCCTTTTCTATAGTTGGTAGCACTGGCAGGGCAATCTGGGATTCTATTTTATGTCTAGCATGGCTGTGACTCCACACATTTGGCAAATTATTTTCCATTCAAAGCCTCAGCTTTTCAAATGTAAATTATAAGTAATTATACCATTGTAATGTCTCCTCTCTGCACATTTGCTATCTAGATTTGAAGCCTTAATATTTTCACATCAACAGATACAATTGAAGATTTTTTAGCGATGCTAAGTAATACTAAGTATGACATATTCCTGGCAAAATAGCCAGGGAGCTGGGCTAAGTTCGCCCTGGAAATTCAGCACCTGTGAGGTAGTATTTTAATCAAGCAGGGTTTAAAGAGTAAGGAGGCCAGATTTGGTTACTATACATGCTTCTGGTTCGGAGTTGAACTTTGGGAAAATGATCTCTCTCCTGCAATAAATGGAAAAAATATTTCTTTTAAAAATTAAAATGATGGGGCATCTGGGTGTCTCAGCGGTTGAGCGTCTGCCTTTGGCTCAGGTTGTGATCCCGGGGCCCCGGGATCCAGTCCCACATCGGGCCTCCTGCGGGGTACCTGCTTCTCCCTCTGCCTGTGTCTCTGCCTCTCTGTGTGTGTCTCTCATGAATAAATAAAATCTTAAAAAATTTTTTTTAATAAAAATAAAAACTAAAATGATATAGCAAAGAAAACTTTGACACCTGTAAGCTATAAAAAACAAAAACCAAAATCGTGTACCCACCTTTAAGTGGGCAGTCTGGGTGGCTCAGCAGTTTAGCACCGCCTTCGGCCCAGGTTGTGATCCTGGGGTTCCGGGTTTGAGTCCCACGTCGGGCTCCCTGCATGGAGCCTGCTTCTCTCTCTGCCTGTGTCTCTGCCTTGCTCTCTCTCTCTCTCACTTTGTGTCTCTCATGAATAAATAAAATCTTAAAAAAATAGAACAGTATCAGGGGCGCCTGGGTAGCTCAGTTGGTTGAGAGTCCGACTCTTGATTTCAGCTCAGATCATGATCTCAGGGTCATAAGATGGAGCTTTGAGTTGGGCTCCACACTCCGTGTAGAGTCTGCTTGAGTTTCTCTCTCCCTGCCCCTCTCCACTTGTGCACATCCACATTCTCTCCAATCAGTCAATCTTAAGAAAATAATATCAAGCCTTCAAAGGCTTGATAGGCTTTTGCATCTCCCAATCTGATCCTATTTCTCTATCCTTCATCTCCCAGTGGTAACAGCCATTTAAACTTTGATCTTATTTGTAGTTTTAACCTATATGTATATCTCTCTGTGCAAAATACCACTTGGTCTTGCTTGTTTGTGAATTTTAAATGAAAGAATATTATTTTCTAGTTTGCTTTTGCTCCTTCTCAGTATCCACGTTGACTGCTGTAGGTCATTAACTTTCACTGATGTGTAGTATTCCATTGTGTGAATATACAACAATATGGTGACCATGGAGATGTACTGCTTAGATTTCCTTTCAAGGAAGAGCTTATCCCAAGTGCTCTCAGGTGGTCAGTAGATAACATTTCAGCTGTTAGCCCCTTCAGGGATGGCCTCCACAGAGGACTTTCTCGCCCGGTGTCAGGACATTTTGGGTGTGGCTCACATTTAATTAGGGATTGAAGTGGGGTATAAAGGCCTGGCCATTTTGACTCAACACAGAACAACTTTGACAACCCATTTCAGTACGAGAGACTCTCCCATGGGGGATTCCAACGTTACCCGAGGTTACTGCCTCTTGACTTCGCCCACTTCCTCCAACAGGTATTAATCCCATTTCACTAAACATTCCCTGGTAAATACCCTGGATACTAACCTGTCTCACGGTGCTTCTGAACTTGGCTTATCCTTTTTCTAGTGGTGATATTTGGGAAGTTTCTGGGGTTTGCTATTACAGCCAGTGCTTTCACTCACTTCCTGGTGCATGTCTCCTGGTCGACACATGTACACGTTTCTCCAGGATAGATGTCTAACTGGAGTTTCTGAGTCAAAGGTTATGTACATCTTCACTTTTCCTGGGTAGTGCCCAATTGTTTTCCAAAGCTGTGGTACTTATTAACAATCCCGTTTGTGGTGTAGAAGTGTTTTTGTACTCCATATCCTCACAGACTCTTGATATTTCCACATTTAAATTTTTGTCGAATGGGTGAGTCTAAATGTTACTGCATTGTGGTCTGAGGTTTAGCATCTTTCTATATTTATCGACCTTTCAAGTTTCCCCTTTTACGAGATGTCTGTTCATCCCGTCCATTTTTCTATTGTGGTTTGTTTTTTATATTGGTTTTTAAGAGTTCTTTATTCTGGATCCTAAGCCTTTGTTCATGGTATATATTGCAAATATTTCTTTCCTCTCACCCTGTTTCTTTCAGTTAGTAATGGGGTGCCTTTGATAAAGGAGTGTATTTATTTATTTATTTATTTATTTATTTATTTATTTATTTATTTATTTTAAATTTATTTATGATAGTCACACACAGAGAGAGAGAGAGAGAGAGGCAGAGACACAGGCAGAGGGAGAAGCAGGCTCCATGCACCGGGAGCCCGACGTGCGATTTGATCCCGGGTCTCCAGGATCGCGCCCTGGGCCAAAGGCAGGCACCAAACCGCTGCGCCACCCAGGGATCCCAAAGGAGTATTTTTAATTTTAATGTAGCCTAATTTCTGAGTCTTTTCCTTTTTGGTTGTGCTTTTTTGAATATTTTAAGCAATTCTCTCCTATTTAGAGGTCACGAAGACATTTTCAAATTAACTTCTAAAAATTTTGCTCTTTGCATTTTGTTTTTTATTCCATCAGGAATTTCCTTTTGTGTGTGACATGAGTTAGTAATCAAACGGGACACAAGAGCCTTCAAAAGTCTTGATATTGTTCTATTTTTAAGCTGGGTGTGGGTAAATGGTTTTGTTTCATTGTTATATATAAACTTACATGTGTCAAAATATTCTTTTGTAAATTGTATTGGTTTTCTATATTAATAG